TCTTAATGAAACCAACCTAGTACTTTTTGATCATTGTCTCTTTTTCTAAGTGTTTACCCACTAGTGGTTTTCTAAGGATTTGGTGAACTTGACCAAACTAGCTATTTGCCTCAGTATTCAAGGGCAAAGCCCTTGTGTGAGAGGTTAGTTTGGGCAATACCCCAGAAAGGGAATGATTAGTAGAACCAGAAAGGTTAGCAGAACCCCAGAAAGGGTTAGCAGAGCAATAAATTAAATGAGCATTTTTTGAAAGGGGCCACTTTTGATAACAATATTTTCTAAAATTTTGCTGGTTATAACAGCTAGTAGTTTGCAAATTCAATCTTTTTTTTCTTGGAGACATTTTCTCTTCCCTGCTTCTGCAGCAATCTGCCAGTTCTTTGAATACCCTGGGCATACTTAAATGAATTCATCAAGGGTAGTAGAGTAATCTTTTGCTATCTCACTATGTAGCTTTTAACTTTATTAGCCTTTTTTTCTTTTTTTTTTCTTTTTGGTGAGGTAATCGGGGCTAAGTGATTCGCCCAGGGTCACACAGCTAGTAAGTGTCAAGTGTCTGAGGCTGGATTTGAACTCAGGTCCTCCTGACTACAAATGTATTAGCCATTTTCGTTCTATCAGTTCTGATGTGTATTCTCTTTGGCAGACAAAACATAAACAAAAGAAGCAGTATATATTTCCATCTTCCCTCTGTTGTCCTTTATCACTGTCTCACCCACCCAACACAGCAATTCTTTTTTTTGTTCATTTTTTCCTCAATATTGTTAAAAATTTTGTTGTTCTTAGCATTCCCTGAGAACCTCATCTTACTCTGAACTTTAGCATTCTTGACAGTTATCTGAATCTTGCCACATTTTAAAATTCATTCTCCATTCCTTGCCTTTGCTTCTACATTCTATATGTTTTTAAAGTATTAAAGTAAGTTGATGGTGATCCTTTAAAAATATTTCATACTACATATGCATCTCCTTCATCAATGGCATTGTTTTTCTCAGTGTCCTCAGAATTCCCTACTTAAGAGTTTCCCATCCTTCCTGGAGTGACCTCCTTTATAGTCTTACATATTTTTCTCTGAACCCTTTGATATATGATCTACTACTCCTTTCCCCAAAACTAGAGTGCATGTCAGGCTATACCCCATTTTCCTATCTTCCTCCATCAGAGATTATAAGATAAGAATGACCACTTTTCCCCAAGGTTTCCTTAATTTCTACTTCAGCAACTGGTTTCTCCTTTTGGTCAAAATCAAGTCCAGAAGAGAGATTCCCCTCTTTGGTCCCTTCATCTTTTGAAAGAAAGAATTCTTATTAAGGCAAGTTAATAAATCACTAGGGTTAAGTAGATGTATGGCAACCCACTCTCATTTTTAAAGATGGTGGAACCACCATGGTTTTGGATTCTGAAATCCTTATTGTTCTTGATGAGAAAGTGGAACTTCTTGTAAAATGTTAGAGTTGGGAAGAAAACATGGACTTGCCCAAATACATAGAGAAAAAAATTCATGCTTGAAACTACAATTTTGAAAGGAAGAATATTCTAAAAGGTCATAAAAGATCACAGGTGTGACTCTGGCTAAGTCACTTAACCTCAATTACCTCACCCCACCCCCCAAAAAAAAGACCACAGGTAGTGTTAATAGCAAAACCAAACCAAACTGAGAAGACATGAGTGATTACTAAAACATAAACATCCTTTCTCATCTATATAAAATCTGTCCCAGGGTGGCACACTAGATAGAAAGTCAACCCTAAGGTCAAGAAAACCCAGGTATAAGTCCAGGTTCTGACCCTTACTGGCTGTGTGACCCTAGAATTTCTCCAGGCAATTTTCTAAGACTAGAAGTTAAAGAATAGTTGCAGATCTACATTAGTGGATTTTCTTCACTGGGGAGGTCTCTAAATCAATGAAATCACAGATCTGGACCTAAATAAATGAATAAATAATTGGATGGTCTATGCATTTAATGAAGATATCTTTGATGCAAATGTGAAGAGGGAAAAAATACTGGAAAGACAATTCTTTCCAGTAGACCACCTCTTCACATTTGTACAAATGTAAAAAATACAAGATAATCCTGTGTTTATTGTCTGATTACAAAGAAAGACTTGATAAAGCAAAATGCCATTTTTAAAAGGTATCCTTTAACAAGGTGTCTGTTACACACATGTTAAAGGTGTCTAAGATTCCCTGATAGGGGTGACTCTTGGGTCAGAACTCATGGGATCACAGACTCAGAGCTGGAGGGCACCTCACATGGCACTGAATCCAGCACTCTCATTTTACTGATGAGAAAACTGTGGCCTGGAGAGGTCAAGCGGCTTGCCTAAGGTCATTCAGTCATTTTTCAATTGTATTTGAGCCTTTATGACCCCATTTTGGGTTTTCTTGGCAAAGATACTACAGCGGTTTGCCATTTCCTTCTACAGCTCATTTTTATAGATGAGGAAACTGAGACAGAGTTAAGTGACTTGCCCAGGGTCACACAGCTAGAAAGTGTCTGCTGCTGGAATTGAACTCAGGTCTTCCCGATCCAAGCCCAGTGCTGTATCCACTGTGCCACCTCACTGCCCAAGGTCACACAGTTACTAATATTTTGGAGCTGATACTCTTAAGCTAGGGCCTCCAAATCCAGAACCCCAACTCCAGCTCATGGTGGATGTTATCTCCCCAATAAGATTCTAGGTTTCTTGAGGGCCAGAATCACGTTTTCTCTTGTATCGCTCATAATACCTAGTACAAGATTGCACATAAACAAGCACTCAGCATGAACTTGTTGGTTGGTTATGTTTAGCTAGATGCATGATGGCTAGAATGATGGACTTGGAGCCAGAATGACCTCAGTTCAGTTTCTGCCTCAGATATTTACTAGCTGAGTGGCCTTGGGCAAGCCACTTACCCTTTCTAAGACTGTTTCCTCAACTGTAAAATGAGGATAATGACAGTACCATTCTTGCAGGGTTGTTGTGAGGATCAAATGAGATAATATATGTAAAGTGCTTGGCAAGCTTTGAGGTGGTAATACATGTTACCTATCATCATTATTACCAATGGAATTGCACCTTGTCTCCTCTAAAGGATATTGGAAGAGAACTTTGGCTTTGTATGGAAATGAAGATGACGAGGAAGTATCTATTCCAACAATAAGGAAGATTCTTTTCTATAGACTGAAGCAATAATGTCAGCTGCTGAGGAATTGCACAGCTACCTGGTTGGTTCAGATAGTCAGGGGGGTCTGTAATTAATGGCTTTCTCAGGCAAACTATAAGCCCACCTATGCAAATCACTGACAAATTCTAAAGGGAAAATCCTGCAGGTTTCCTGATCAACTGAACCTCATCAGAGATAAGCAGAGCAAGTGAAATTTGGAGGGAGCAGCTTTGTTTGTATCTGATTTGTATTTGACTCCAGGGTCAGTGCTCTATCCACTGAGCCACCTAGCTGCCCCTGTATTTGTGTAATTTAAAAGCAAGCAGAAGGATCCTGTGTTCCAACTCTGCCTCTTAATGGCATTGTGACCTTGGGGCAAGACACTCAATTTCTCAGGGCCTCAGTTTCCTCATGAGGAATGAGGGGGTTGGACTAGACGATAGCACTAAATCTATGATCTTTTCTGATTTCCCATAGTCACATTCTTGATACTTTTCTTTGCAGGTGACATTGTACTGATTGTATTAAGCCCTGGGACACTACAGGACCTCTTCAATGAGGTCCAGAACCATTTAATGGAAAGTCTAGTTATTCACACAGGAAAAACTAAGTGGATAAACAACTTATAGTGCCCAGATTATTGACCTGGTGCCAAAGCTCATATTTTGAATTCTAATATTCTGCCAGTGGCCCTGTATGGCTTCAATTTCTGGAACACCATGATCTCTGAAGAATAAAAATTGCTGATAACCTCAAAGAGCAATGGAAAATGCATAGTGATTGTAAACAGGTACAACTACACTATAATGACTAATATGCGAGAAGTGGCATAAAAACATCAAAGAAAAAAAGACTGGTTGTACAGTAAGAGCAAGAAATAATAAATCACTATCAGAGTCTTATACTGTTCATCTACAAAATATTAAAAGACCTACACAGGAAGGCCTCTCAGAGTCTTGGGTAAAATCTACATGGCAAAATGATGGAAGATCTTGGACAAAAATTACATGGAATGGGAATGTATGTCTGTGTATCTTAGGCAACTAGGTGGCTCAGTAGATACAGCACTAGGCCAGGAGTCAAGAATACCTGAGTTCAAATCTGGGCTCAGGCAAGTAATAGCTGTGTGACACTGGGCAAATCACTTAACCTCAGCCTGCCTCAGTTTCCTCAACTGTAAAATGGGGATAATAATAGCACCTACTTTGCAAGGTTGTTTATAAGGATCAAATAAGATAATAAATGTAAAATGCTTAGCACAGTGTCTGCACATAGTAAGTGCTATATAAATGTTAGCTATTATCATTATTAGTATTATTACTACTACACTGGTGGTAGGAGTGACCACAATGATGAGACCACAGAGTCACCCAAGTAATGGTATTCTGAGTAAGGCATTATGACAAAATCTATATGTTACAATATGTGTGACTATGGAAGCTCCTCACCAAAATAAATTAAGATTTCATAATTTTCTACAGTCGATAAAAGACTAAGGAGCAAAGGTCTAGATTACTCATGCACAAACTGCAAATTAATTTCCTTTTTAACTTATAAAAACTATAAGAAAAACATTAGCTAATTTTAAGTATGCTATATAAGCTCAAGTGGAGAATCAAAACTTTAAGTAGCAAAGGAAGATTAAAGCAGAAACATGTGCAAATACTAATTGCTGACCTCAGAAACACTGTGGGCTTGTTTTAGATGTGTCAACACCAAATGTTAGGTTTTAGCACATCCATTATTCAAAAGACCCTACACAAAAAGAAAAACTCTAAGTGGGCAGGGGGGATGAGCTGTTACAAAGGCAGTCCTAACGACATGTGCTTGCAGCCTTTCTCCCCCTCTCTTACCTTCATTAAAGGTTTCCACACTGCATGATCCTGAAAACTGGTTCGAAGCTGCTGCACAGACCTGGATAAACTGTGCAAACATCTACAAAGAATAATCAAAATTAGCTTCACATAAGGATTAAACCTTTACTTTTCAAACATAAACAATGGGGGGTTTCATAACTATTAATGCACTGCAGATAAGACATATGTAAGTATTTAACCACTTCAGAACACTTCAAGTACTTTTGGAAGTAGATTCTCTGTTAATGTTATATACTGCATTTATAAGTTTATATGAGCTTAAGTTCAGTCCATTTGGTTTCTTACTTCATGAAGGACCAGAAAGTTAACTGAATTAAATATACTGCAAATGATTTTTATTCAGACCATTAAAACTCATACCTGACTGCAGCTAACCGCACCTTGATACTAGACTCAGACAAGCCATTCACAATTCGGTCCATCATATTTTCAGTCTCAATGATCTGGAGAAAAAGGTTAATTCTGCATAAATAACAACATGAAGTTGACAATTTATTTAATGCTTGTAAGTGTTAGTAGTTCTCCCCCCTCCTCCCTCTTTTAAATGGTCATTACAATTTAAATGCTGCTTTTTGGTAAAAAGCTTTTACCTTATATACAGCAACCTTGTACTGGATCTGGGCAACACATCAGAAAAGTATACCTACCGATCGTGAGCATCTACCATCGTAAATGATAGACACAGGGCAGGCTTTGTTTTTAGAAAAATAAAAACACTTAAGACAATAAACAGCATGAAGAATACAGAGACATTTCACTTATAACTATTTAAGACAGGGTTTTTTGTTTAAGTAAATGATGAAAATGATTTCTAGTTTGGTGAATTACTATTAGACCAACAAACATGAAAGGAAACAAACAACACAGACTCTCCAAAGAGATTTACAGATTCCTACCCAAGCCATCCTGTCAAGTGGGAGATTTTCTAACATTGATCAGTAAGTAGCTTACTTTCTTCTTGACATTTAAAACAAGCATATTTTTTAAAAAAATTAACTACTGTCTTCTTTCACTGAAGCCCTTAGTCCAGTTGAATACCTGGAAAATACTAACTACAACTTCTACAAAAGTATTTACCACAGTGTTTTATAAGGAGGGCAACTCACACCTTATAAAAGGTAAATTATTGTCCCCAATAATCTTGGTTAAAAGAGTGGGAACATTTAGTTCACGGTGGGTACAACTAAGAAGCTGGTTGGTGTCTTGAGGGAAAAGTGGGTAGCTGGATGGGAGTAACAGAACATTCAAGGCATATAGGAAGAAACAGGGCTGTCACGGACTCACAGAATGTTACATCTAGAAGAGGACTTAGTGATCATCTTGTTTTAATCCTTCACTTTGCAGATTTTGAGTTGAGGGCCAGACAGATGAGGTGATTTGTCCAAAGTCAAGTAGGTGGGTAGTGACAGAAAGAGCTTGGACCTTCTAACTCAATCCACCACTTTTCCCACTATACTCATTGCATGGATAAAAGTAGAATAGCTGAGGATTGGAGAGGACATCTGGTCTCAAAGGCTGAAACCCAAGCTTCATCTAAGGGTTGGAAACCAACCCTTATGACCTGGTCAGATAACACATTAAGTACAGGCTAAAAGATACGCATACCAGGGAAAGAGAAGAATCGATATTTTATGATTCCAGTGGACCCTTAAATCATTTTTACCTTAATGATGGCAAATAGTTTTAAATACCAAGAAACATTCTGCATGTTGTTACCTTTCCTTTTCCATAAAGGCAAAGACCAGATGTTGGAGGAGACTGAGAAAATTTCTGGTACTGGGAAAACATGTTTCTTGCTTGGAACATCATTCTCACATTTCCAATGAGTTACAGAACCTTTCTATTTAGTTCTTCCTTCGGGATCTCAAACTAAACATGTGTATAATTGAACCAACATTTTCTCCTAAACCAATTACTCTTGTCAAACAGCATTCTGCCAGTCTCCAAACATTATAGCAACCTTTGACTCCACTATCTCCCTCAATAGTGAGTAACCAAACTATATAGATTCTTCCATTAAAGTATCTTTTATATCCATTTCTTATTCTCTTTTTACTTGCCACCACCTCAATTCAGTTCCTTGTCACTTGAAGACATCATAGATTACTAATTGAACTCCCAAACTACAATCTCTCATGAATTATCATGCGTAAGGGGAATAAATTTCTGAAAACAATCTGACCTTTTCACTCATCTGCTAAGAATGTTTAATGACTCTCCACTGCCTTAGGACAAAGTCAAAGCTTTAGTCTGGCACTAAAGTCTGGCTCTAATTTACTTTTCTAGACTTATCTCACATTATTCTTCATGTACCTTAAGCTCTAAGGTAATAAGTGCCTATGAAAAAGAATATTTACTATAAAAAAAAACTTCCCACACTTTCCAGGTATCCCTGATTCTTCTCACCACCACTACCCATAAAAAAAAAATCAACAGCATCTATTACATATTAAGGTACTGCTCTAGGTGCTAGGGGGAGCACAACTAAGTATATATAGTATGGTCCCTGTCGGCACAGAGTTCATAATCCAGTTGAGGAGCTGGGTTCTGAAAAAGCCAAGGGCAACAAGACTCCAAAAGTCAGGGAGAAGGAAGGCTGTCTTGAAATGAGAGGCCGGGTATATGTAGCTCAAAAATCTAGAAATGAAGAGTGGCAAAGGGTTTGCTAATAGGGGTTAAGCCAGGAGGGCTTTACCGGCAAAATGCTAGGTACTCCCAAAATCCAAAACTTACAGGATTAAGGACAGGACATCAATAATACTGCTCCCTGGAAATAATACCTAGAGTATGATGTCATGAGGAACCTGAAATAGGGAAGACTTAAGAGAGGTTAACTTCTTTAGTTACAGCTAACCAAGGTGCGATTACTATAAAACCTGTGGAGTCTGTCAGCTAGAGGACAAAGGTGGGAGAAAAGTTAAAGCCCCTCTATGGTGCATTTCATTTGGGGAATTGGTATTGCAGTTCTTTTTAAGCGGATCCATTTGGAAAGAAAAGAAATATGTTAAAAGGCAGTAGAGCGTGGCAGAAAAAGGACTGGATTTGGAGGCTGAGGACCTGAGTTTGAATCTTGGCTGTTCTACATACCACCTGTGTACTTGTGGACAAATCAGTTCATCTTTCTGGGCTATCTAATTTGCAAAAATGCTTGGATTGGACCACATAATCTCTAACATCCTTCTTAACTCTGAATTCTATGATCACATATTAATGAGATACATTAGTCTTATTCAATGAGGAGTGGTTTGCACCCTTTTTTGTCCATCTCTAGAACTGATAGGACAAAGGAGAAAGACAGCAGGCTCTGGTATGGTTTGTGACTAACCACAAAACATAGAACTCCCTTGCTTAAATTTGTACTCTATGGACCCCAAAACAACTGACAAAACAAAGATCTTTCTGATGTTGGCCCAATTTCAAATGCTTTTTAGGGGAACTCAGCCAAGACCCCAGTAGCCATGAGACTGATACTAATAACAGGAACAATACCAATACCATTATACAGTTGTACAGTTCTTTATAATTTTTAAAGTGTTTTCACATATATTAAATCATTGGGCTCACAACTATCATGAGAAACAGCTTTACAATTAAAAGAATATTGCTGTCATTAAAATAAAAAACAGAAACACCTTATTCCTGCCCCATCACTCTTGTCCAGTAAAGTCTTCTCTTGTAACAAAGAAATGATTAAGGAAAACAAAGGGACACAATGACAGTGCCTGACAGTATTATTCTTATTTACAGATAAGGAAAAGGAAGCTCAGAAGTTATATGGCTAGGTCAGGGTCATCCAACTAGAAGACCCAGAGTCAGATCTCAGGTTTCCTGACTTAGTCTAGTACTTTTCTCAGTGAATCATGCAACCACTTTGGGAATCACTCTACTCTGCACAAATGAAAAGTTTAGTATGGTACAGGACATGCTAGGACAGAAGATGATCACACTGCCAGTACTTAGGCTTTTTTAATAGTATCAGCATTCAATCTTGACCAAACCATCCAGTTCTATAAGGATTACACAGTGGTAAATATCATCATTGAAACAAATGCATATCCTATGATCTGGATACACTCTTGGAACCAGTAGAGTGTGATAAAGGTCTCTAGCACTCACAGAATTAGCAGAATTAGATGCTTAGCATAAGACAACCTTTATTTGTTGTCTTAAAACCCAATGATTTATTATTACCATTACTACTACCAATAATGATGATAATGATGATGATGATGACGACGACGATGACGACGACGACTACGACAGCGACGATAACTGAGAGGTATGATGTAGTGGAAAGAAAGCTAGCTTTGGAGAAGGAGAAGCTGGATTCAAATTTAGTCTCTGACACATAATAATCGTGGCAAATTGCTTACAACTGTAAGTTGCAGAAAAATTGCAGAATTGCAATTCATAGAGGAAGTTTCCTTACTGGGGAACTTCCTACACTGATGAAATTATAGACCTAGAGTAATAATAATAGTAATAATAACTTTACACAATATTTTAAAGTTTCAAAAGACTTTACATACATAATCACCTTTGAACCTCACAACAATCCTCTGAGGGTAGGTATTAGAAGTATAAAGATCCCCATTTTACAAATGAGAAAACTGAAGCTCCAAGAGGTTAGGTGACTTGCCAGGTGGGATCTGAACCAAGGTCTTTCTTAATTGCAGTTTTGCTCTACTCAGCATTGAAAGGCTTCATGAAGGAAACAGCATTTGAGCTGGGCTTTGAAGACTATAGTTGTGTTAATTTGATTCACTTGAAGTTATGTTCTCAGGTTTTGAGGAAATGGAAAAATTTTCTTTGGGACAAAACAGAACAACTATACTATAAGGTGGGAATCTCCTAAATCAAAAAGAGATGCAAGCCTTCTTCTTGAGAATATAAGGATAGAAATCACAGGGTTATGCTGAATTTAGGATCCCAGATAACTCTACTCATTCTCTTATCCAATAAGGTATCTTGGACTTTTGAATGATTAAGAGGTCTGATAGCTTAAAAGTTAAATCTAGGAAGAGATATGTTCCCATTTACTCTCTCTCCTTTTTTCATTCCTTTTTTCCTCTCTCCCTTCCTTCTTTTTTCTTTATTCCATCATTCCTTTCATAAATTCCTCTGACACAGGGTGATGTATTATTGCTATATGACCAGAAGTAGGTAAAATGATCAAATGTTCATCTGAAGAAGTAGCAAATATTCCAGAGGCAGCAATCTAAAATAATTTTTCAGAAAGCCATAAAATTCTTGAGAGAAGGGACTATTTTATGTCTCTGTATTGCCAGAGCTTAGCACAATGCCTGGCACATAAAAGACATTTAACAAATATTTGCTGAATTGTTAAACTGCATGTCTAGCAATCTTATGAGAATGGGGTAATTTACATCCTTTCATCTTTGAAAGTGGATCACAAGAGTTCTGAAATAATTTAACCAAATGA